TCATAAATTACTAATGCCTCAATTAATAACAAAGAAATTATATTTTCCTAATAATGAAAGAGACATATTTTTCAAACGAATAATTATTTTCAAAATAAAAACTCTATAAAGTAAAGGTGTACGCTCCAGTCTTTACTCATGCAAAGCGAATTTAAATAAATTAGACTACTTTATGAGGAATTCGTTTTTCAAAAAGAAAGGGGGGGTCCAGAAAAAAGGTAAGGCTGAAACTAACTACAACAACCCAAATTAACCATTGTCATTCGAGATTCAAAATTTCAAAACGGAATTTTCCCTCAATTTCCCAGCAACCAAATGCTGAGTAGTTATCTTTCCTTTTTTTGGCAACAAAGGGTCAACAACTCTACTAGTCATAGTACCAGCTACCCTCGTATTATTACTAAAAATTTGTTTTATAAATTATACATATATATATATTTTGAACAAGTTATAAAAAAGGTAAGTTCAAATTTTAAAACCTGCTCTCATAAGAAAGGGGAAATGCATCTCAAGCTGACAGATTATCAGTTGAGTCGAATGATTAAATGTATTTTTATATTATTTTATTAAAATTATTTTAATAAATTTATAAAATAAATTATATTTTAAATATATAATTTAAACTATATTATATGAATCTCTTATATCATGTATATTAAAAATAAATAAATACATTTTTTATTTTATGCATTAAATTACATAATATTTTTAATAAATATTTTTTTTAATGTTGATTGTATAATATAAGATACTTTTTTTTATTTTTTATTTTACATTACTTATATGTCTAGTATTTTAAATTTAAAATTATTTTTTAATATATTTAATTATGAGTTATATATAAAAAATAATTATTTTTTATTCTTAAATTTTTTTACAATTGATTTGAGACTTAATCTTGAAATTTTTAATTTAAAATTTAAAATTTTTAATGTTAAAGTGGAAATTGAATTTAAAATATTTTATTTATAATGAAAATAAGTTATTTAAAATATTTAAAAGAAATTAAATCTTAACGGTTAAGTTATTGATTTTAATAAATATTTGAAATATCAAAAAAATAAAAAAATCCAGCGTCGGTAGCGGCCCTACCGGGTGACGTGTCGTCGTGTCGGATACGCTATATATATATTTTATTTTTTTGGTAAGTACGCTATATAAAGTTACTCCTTACGTTTTGGCTGAAATTAATTCCTACCCGTACTGTTTACAACAGCAGCAGCAGCAGCAGCAGTTAGGGCGGGAAGCCGAATATTCACAAATTGACATGAGCGGTGGCTCTCTCTTTTGTCCTTCTCTGTCTCTGTCCTTCCCTAGGGTTTCTCTGAAATTTCCCAAAGTACAGTCGCACACTGTCCATCCAGCTATTCCCTCCCAACTCCCAATTCTCCCATCACCATCTTCTAGGGTTTTGATTTCGGTTTCATCTCCCTTTCCCCGCATTCTAGTCACTGAATTCACCGGAGCCCAATCATGAGTATCCGGAAAGGCGCTAAAGTGTGGGTGGAGGACAAGAACTTGGCCTGGGTGGCAGCTGAGGTCGTCGATTCCTCCGGAAAACAAGTCCAACTCGAAACCGCTTCTGGTAAAAAGGTGTGGAGGAGTTCTTTTTTTTTTTTTTTTTTTTTTTTTTTTTTTTTTTTT